CCGATTGCCGGTGACTTTCAGCTTCTTTTGTCGAACAATGATCTCACTAGTATTAAAACGAATAAATTAATTTTTCTTTCTTTGTTTCCCTTCTTTAATGTTAACGCTGAACGTACTAGTCACTAAGGACGATGGTCGAGAGGCGTCGAGGATGTATATGTATACCTATATGTCATCGTGAAACGATTGTGCCACGCAACGTTTCATTGAGTCGACCGTGATCCGCCATGGTCAACACGATCCAGGTTACTTGTAAATGTTGTACATACGAGTGCGAGTGTATATGCGTGTGTGTATGTACATAATTATAAATATCGATCTCTTCGTCTTGGTCTTGTCTTCTTTCTTCCTTCCTGTCCCCTGGCGCAACAATACGACTGACATGAATCGAGTCAAACACGTGGCGGTTCTTGCGTAACTAACAGCGTGCAGCGGTGGGATCAATGCTTTCGATGAGCTCTGCTTTCTTAAAGAGAAGTCTTCAAGAATCCTTTCCTTGGAAAATACAACATGTAATTAAATACATCTTGTTAATATTTATTAAATTACTTATAAACGATATAAAGAAATTAGAGTAATAATTTTATTATATTATGTTTTAAGTTTTCTTCTTAACATTAAAGTGATATCTCCGGAAAAGATATCTCCATTAAGCACGTGATTTCTCAATTTAGGCTCATTTGACAAAAAAAGAGTTGAAGAAGATTCTTAACACATGGCAGGCACGTTGGGGGGAATTCGCACCAGGGAAAATTCAATGTGTTCAGTATTTACAGGTAAGTTAATGTATATCAATCCCCTATTCTGGTAGTAAAGATCCGAGTGTAAAAATATCCGAACTTCCGAGTACCTTGGAAAATATTTATTTACGTTTTATTTAACTGAAACAATTTTTTTAATATAGCACATCCTTTTAACTGCAAGATCCAGAAAGATTTGTTTCATTTCACTAGCATAAAAGATAAGAAAAATTAATTTTTTCAAAATCTTAGTTTTATTAATTAACATCTATGAATAACATAAAATTTTCCATGAAATGTGGGTATGATCAATCGATTTCTCAGGAAATTCTCTATCAAGAGCATACGTTTTATTTCAACATTACTATTTATTTCTAAAAGTTACAAAATATTAAGGTTTGAAATGAAGTGTGTCTACCACGCAAAGAAGCACTTATTAGCACTTAAAACATAAAATTAATTAACACTTAAAAGCACTTATTTTCGGTGATTTTTGTATGTAAAAAGTATGATAAATTAAAGATATAAACTTGATTGTGTGATACCTGCGATAACGATACTCATATTAAATTAAGAATCTTCTCGAATTTTTTGTTTCGGTCGCATGATCTGGGTTCAATTTAGAAATGATAAGACAGTACAATCTGTCTGGTGAAATAAAATTTTTTCTCAGCATTATGTAGTGGAATATTATGAAAATACGAATCTTTAGAAGTAAATAATATATAAATAATATGTTATAACGTCGTACTATTGTTGATTATTTCCGTAACATGTATGCATATAAAAGATAATAATCTTTTATATTTGCATAGAATGGGCCAACATGGGTAATGCAATCGGACAAGAGATTATGTTACATGCAAATGTAAATCGAAAGTGTGGTATAACATTTTTTCGTACGATGCTTCGTTTCCGAGATAATCGAATTTGAAAATCAGCTGGGCATGCGTTTAATTGAAAGGTACTTGGCTACCGCGTCTGTTCCTTACATTCTGTTTCTACTTACTGTGAGCACGAACATGTGAATATTCAAATTCGATTATCTCGAAAACAAAGCATCGAATGAACAAATTTGATTCGACATTTTCGACTTATTTTTTCACGTATAATAAGTTCTCGTCCGACTTTACCATCTTGTATACACTCAGGTATCTTTTTACAAAATTTATTCTGCCCTAAGGTGATTAAAAATCCCTTTTAAAGATCTCCATATAAATATAATTTCGATTAGACGGTAATAATTTTAACATATTCCCTTTGGAAACTATAATTAAAATTTATTCCCAGTGCACTTCAATCTAGATATTTGACAACACAATAGTCAAATATATCTTTGTATTTGCACCAAACGAATCATGTCTAGAGTTAATGCTTAAAATAGAAATTTGAATATCTATATGTACATTCTGTTGGACAGTTTCAAACGTGAGTTTTTTAATTATATTTCTCACCCAAAGTGCCATTTTTCCAAGAAGCCGATTCCGGAACGGTGCATCTTCTGGCAGATTAAATTAACAGGTCACGTTGGCACGAACGTGTCAGATGATAGTCGTGCACGATGGACAATGAAAGAATCTTCGTCTTTTCAGCCGGCAATCAGAAGAAAGACACGGTAGATCTAGGAGAATTCAGTCTTTATTAAAGGATTTCGTGACCAGTGTTCCGAAATTGTTTCATTGTATTTTAAAACCATTATACCATAAACACTATCACTTGTAAAGGGCTTTCTTTTCGAGAAAAAAAAAATTATGAAAATTCGTCGCGTAACCACGTACTATAGAATAGGACTCCTCTAACGTGTCTGTTCATTACACTCTATTTCCACTTATAAATTGACAATTTCAAAATTCTTCATGATATTTGGAAAAATCATGCACTTAAGGAGTAATGGACTTATTTTGCCATGAAAATCCATCACCTATTCTGCCCTTCTTGCTTAAAATGTCCAATCTAACAAATTATTGTTTTTCAAGATTTCTCGAAATATTTCGAGCCCCATATGCTTTTTACGTTTTAGATAAAGCTAGAATACTCTGAGTGCTTTTTAGGGTTCTAGAAACAGCCTAATTTATTTGTCCTAACTGGGTTTTAAATAGTTCTACTAGTTTATATTGTTCTATGTAACATCTACTAACTTATATAATCCTAAGTTGTAACTTATGTTTATGCGTCAATTATTTGTGTTCAAGATACGTGCCTGAATATGTCAGTTAGAACAATTAGGCTAAGGAGGATAGTATTTGTTGCACCCTGAGTTACTTCCATTTTCTACAATATAAACAATACAACATCGACCACAGAATCGTTATTAGATCAATGCAGACCTTGTCACCTGGACACAATTTTACCTGTATCGTTTCAAAATAATGTTCCTAGACTCAAGTCCACAGATTTGCCTTCTCTGATATCATAAAATAAAATTTAATTTTGTATGCATAGTGCATATGCAAGACTCCGACTAACTCAACCATGGTCAACACATTTTGCTGAATCATCGCCTCCGTTGGATTCCAACCAGCACGTTTCGATCCCATCGCTCCACGCGAGCTGCCTATTAGTTTGACAGCTATTAACCGCTGCACACGGTTCGCTTGTAAATTGGATGATAGTAGCAAACCCACTACGGGACATCGTCGCCTCGCGATCCTTCATCCGAATAGCACTTTCAGCTTAAGGGGTTATATACCTTTGGACAGGTAGAAAACATAGGGTTATTTTTATGAATTTTTGTCTGTAACATATATAAAAAAACGTTTTATTTAAAAATCAGTTATTAATTATTAATAAATCCTGTTATTGAAAGAAATTTGATATCTTGTGAAATAATACCGTAGCAGCTCCTTCTTCCAAAGCCTCTCCACAGTTACAGTATCGATCTGTTTTGTTTGTCCATTCCAGATGTTTTTGCAACACAGAGAAGAAACGAGTACAGTAAATCCTCTATGAATGTTCGAAGGCTCCAGACACTGACAAGGAGAGGTCCACAGATGTAACGTTGACTTTTTAATGATATTTAGCACACATAAAGCTTGGAATTTTGAAGCCAATGATATGTGCTTCAGCCACATATAGCCATGAGTTTATGAAATATTTACTGTTTAGTGCCGAGGAGCCTTCGAACACTCATCGAGGATTTACTATAATATTCATGAAGTGATGTTAGTTTGGGGATTCTGTATACAGCAATATCTTGTGTATTACTTAAATTTCTAATTTGTTTAATAGAGATTCTAATTCGGCTTACATTTTTGTAGAGATTTGACCGTGAACCGAATTGGAACTGAATTGGAACTGTACCAGGTTGAAGCAGCCGTGTGACACCTGTTGCTTCGAATTCGAAGTTATATCCAGATTTTGGGTTAAATACAAGTTCAATGTTAATATTGATTTTGTATTTGGTTAGATCCGGATCAGGTCTTATTTTCATTTTGCAATTCACGTCTGGGTAGTTTACGATTTGTTCACTCTTTATTCCTTTAAAATAATACGATATACAATTTAAGTACAACTGCAGTACACTCTATTTATTACATCACTTTAATTAAAGTACTAACAGTAACGGGTTTTCAGGTACGGTTAATATCCCATGCACGGAATCAGGCTTGGATTTTCAAGACAGAGCTTCGCGTTCATACAACATTTCTCGGCCACGTTCAGAAAGATTTTCTTGTTCAGGTCTTTCGAATTACGGGGCATCCGTTCGCCGATCTCCTTGTACAGTTCCTCGAGTTCATCCGCAGACAGCTCATATCCCAATAGTTTGTCGGAACTGTCCTACGAAAATTAGTCTATAATCAATAATACATAATACAAACCGCAATGAACAATTTTTCATTATTTATAAAAACTCCCGGAATTTCAGAAAATTTCTATTCTCCTTTGCAAATAAACAATTCAAAAAATACATCGTCGCAAGGATTCTATAGGAGAAAATATTAAATAAAACTTCTTTCACGTACAGGGTAATTCACCTAACTCTGTTTAAACGAAAGTTTACACTTACAGAAGTTCTGTAAAAAGGGCCCATTCCCATTGGTTGATAAGGCATAGGCATAAAGCCACTGGAACCATATTGTTCGTTCACCATTTCGCTTTCACGGTTATCGTGGAAATCAACACCGGGCAGTTTTAGTTCGGTGGTGTGGGAGTTGCTATCCATTTCCGATCCCATTTCGGTTCCTATACCAGACATCCCATACTCAGGCATCCCAAAACCAGACGTCATTCCAGGCATCATTCCCCATTGCCGCTTCTGCAGGGTCGCACGTGGCTCGTCCTCCGGCACCTCAGGCGCGTCTAAAAGGTAAATCACATACCATTCACCAATCTTTTCGATACTCGATTCTACGCACGATACAGAAAACAAAAAATGGCGTCGCGAAAGAAAACAGTTACTGGCAAGAAGTCTTGCGCGCGACACGTTTCTGTTGAGATGCGGTTCGCGAGCGACCTAGAATCGGTTAACGATTACACACACACACATAGGGTGTCCCGTGATAGAACAGACAGACTTCTCGAATGTTTTTGACAGGTCATTTTGAGCTGTGACGTGCTGTTGCTATTATTTGCTATGTATCTTTTATTTGTAAGTATTATTAAGACTTTCTGAGCTATTTGAGGTGTAGTATTGCTCATAAGTATTAGGACACCTAATTTGTATAAAGAGTTATAATATACTCTTCATAATATTTCATAATATCATAATATTTCGTAAAAATTACATATTTTAAGACATGTTTATTACGTATTTCATAGTAGCATAAGTGGTATCCATTAAGGTTTAATATCCCCTGAACAATATTAATTTCAGACATTTAGCAATTTCGTAATGCCTTGTAATATTCACTGCATATTCGATAAGTGTCCTAATGCTTATGAGCAGGAGCGTGTAGGTATCGTTTGTGGCACAAAAGTTATATTCTGCCCTATCTATCACCACTCGTTATTGAAATAAATGATAATAAAATTTCATAAGTAATTAATTTAAAAATCAACTGATCGGAATCTCAATCTATTGGCATTTGCAGCATTGTAAAGTTAACAGTCTATGTACTGCTTTTCAATACGGCTCCGATACGCGATATACTTGATTTAATTGAATCTTAACTACAAAACACAGTATTATAATTATGAGATGTACCGTATATCTTCTCCGCTAACAGAACGCAACACGAAACTGAATTACGAGACGTTCGAGTATCAACATGTATCACACCCCTAATCACAGTCCCCGAGAATAATTAGTATCCTCTGATTAATATCTCCTGATAATTAACATTCCCTTTCCCGCGGTAACTTATGTTCATCACCTAAATCATCCCTGGGTTCGTCCAGAATCGAGAAATTCATCTGAATCGATCGAAATTATCGACCGATAGTATCCCATCACTTACCGATCTTTGTGTCCTCTTCAATGTCCTCCAGATCCGGCTTCTGTGTCGATCGTTTGATCCTGGATCCCTTGCAACTGTTGATGATCACATCCCGTGCGATGTTCTTGCACGTCAGGGGTAGTCGCGAGTCCATATCAATGGCGTCCAATACCGTGGCCAGCATAGTGGCGAAAAACACGACGCGTATCATTTGCTGCGCTCGATCCATGCCGATCTAGTTGACTAAACGAGGTTACTTGCTTGTTCACACGATCCCCGCCGTGATTGCCAATCCGCTGGTCCTTCCACGACTCTAAGACGGAGACTGGTCCTTCGGACATTTAATCCCACCGTTATCCATCGGAACGTGTCACAGACTTGTTTCTGTAATCGTGTTTGTTTACTCGGCCATCACGTTTACCGTGTGTTTGATTATTGTTGGTTGTCGTCATTAAGGAGAATGTGACGGGATTGGAATCAATTGGATGCGCGCGGACAGGTGGAAAAGACGTTCGTACGTTTCAGTATTTTAACGAGACCAGACGTGGCTGTCGTCACGTCTTGAAAGAGGAATTTCACTTTGTACGAAGAAACGAACGAGGAACTTTTGATCGGGTACGTTGGGAATCAGGCGTGTCGTTGTAGGTTGTAGGATATGTTCGATGTGTCTTGGTAATATTGAGTAGTTTAATAGATTTAGATTAGTTACTGTCCTGGTGGGTCTGGGTTGGGAAATGGAATGAATATGTTGGACTGGTTCAGATTGTGTCAAAATGTGGTCGTTTTTGGGACTGGTATGTAAACTTTCGATTAGGTATGTTCGATTTAAGGGGGTATGTGGTAACTGACTGGTGTGCTGGGCCAAATTTAAGTATGTTACGTCAGAGTCGAGTATCCTAGGTCTGGGTTAAACATCATGGGCTAACTTAGATATATTAATTATGCCAAAATGTGTTCATTATTGGGTTAGGTCTGGGTTAGGCCTAAGTATCTATCTAGTCTGGTATGTAAATTTTCAATTAGACATATTAGATTTAAACGGATATGTGGTAACTGACTGGTGTGCTAGGCCAAATTTAAGTATCTCTGGTCAGAGTCAAGTATCCTAGGTCTGGGTTAAGTATCGTTCGTCTGGCTTAAGTATGTTAGGTCAGAGTGAAGTCTTTTCGGTCTAACTTTAGTACGTTATGTGCTGCATCAGTATGATAAGTATGGGTGGACGTCTGGAGTCTTTAGTTGAAGTTTAATGAACTGGGTATCAGCTTAAAAAAGTTGAATATGTAAGTTGGTTATAATCTAGATTTAGTGGATATTAAATTGGTATGTATCTCAATGTATATGTATATATATATACATTCGAAGAAAATCTGATGTTACAAAATTACGTATTTTATGCCACATTTATTACTTCGCAGTGTCGTAAACGCTGTCTATCGAGCTTTAATATCCCCTGAACCTATACCCTATAACCTATACCCTAAAAGAGCGATTCTATAATGTAATATTTACTGCATACTCGATAAATGTCCTAATATTTACAAGCGTATATATTCGAAATGTATTAGATACCCAATGAGACCTAGAAGAGAATCGAGTTCAGATCGGTTTCGATAGCGACGCAAGACCTCAATTTAAATTACTTTTGATTCGGAACTGATGAGTATTTACTGTAGCGTCGTTCGTGGGTCAGTTGCCCTAAAAGCGATACGAGTATCCCTGGCAGAAATAGATCCAATCAAACGGGGAGGAGGGGTAATTGCACCGACAAAACGGTTTACACAACCGGTCGTAAAGTCCGTTATGAAATTACAGGCGTGAAATCAAAAGTACGAATGTGGTCCATCGGAATTCCATCTGCCGATTAAAACGTCCGTTAAGCGTGACTGACGTTTGGCATCCTCTCTCGTCGAGAAATCGTGCTTTTCGGTCGATAAAACGGTGATTCGAGTAGAGAATGAAGATCGACCAGTCGAGGAATGGGCGTGTGTGTGACCCCCTTTGTGTGCAGACGATGCAATGCCCCGCTCCAATAAAAGTTAGTCGAAAAAAGTAGGCAAGACAGAGACGGGAAGTAATTGAAGATTGGCTCCAGCGGCGGCGGCGGCGGCGGCGTCGCGTCGAGACGCTCTTGCAATTAGCCGTCACTCATGAGGGCACGATGGTCTAGTCGCTAATTTTCTCTGACGCAATTGGTGATGGTTCGACAACGATGTGTAGGTGTGTATGTGTGAACAGAGTTTATTTTGTCTCCCTTACAGGTTGTACCGTTGTGTGTACCTTTTAAAAAGTAAAACCGATTGACACACACTTTGTTCATAATGCTTTTAGATTTCAATAACCTTTTGTAGAGGGCATGTTAGGACGAGTAGCCCATAAGAGGAAGCTATTCTATAGATGCAAAAGTTTACCCACTGACGGTATGGTTCGGGTCATATCCGACCCAAGTTATCCTCTCGAGGGATACTGGCAAGTATGTGTACGTTTGGTTTTTCTTCCATTTTAGCATCATTCCGAAGCTGTAATTAAATATTCATTGGGAAATTCCGCACGCAAAAGGATATTCTACCAATTGGTTGTCGTTAATATTTATGAATATATTTAAATTAAATACAGCCGAAGAATAAAGAAAATATTCTTTCTGGTCTTAATAAACTTGTCCCTGAAGAGGTTATAGTTCATCCTATGCTATTTCTACGCTATTTTTTATTATCTTGTTTTCTCTCGTTTTAAAGTATTTTTATTCTTTACTAAAGTATTTTAATTTTTGCGTGTATATTATTGTTACATATTTTTTAATTAAATTCTTTTTGAATGACAAACACTTCTATGCGGTCCTCTTTTTAGCGGGTCCTAGACACGTGCCTCTTTGGTCTAATAAACGCAGCCCTGATTATAATATTCACGTTCGCTTATCTCAGAAACGAAACGTTGTACAAATAAATTGTTATTCTATACTTTTGAGTTAGTAGATTTGTAGCGAGTACATTTTGCTTTAGTTGTTGCATGAATGGAGTAATTATTGTATACGATACTATCATCGTATCATGGATCACCTATGGCCTGATGTCGACTTTTTCCTTACAGATCGCAGCCGAACGTAAACAAACAATGTTGCTCATTAAGCAAACCGAAAAAATGCACGTGCCAATCACAAAAGGTCTTTATCGTTTGTTCGAATAGATCAGAGTTTATCGTGGTTGTCGATAGTAACGGTTGTGCGTAAAAAATTGAACATTTTGCGCGGTAAGAGAGAAAATTTTTCGCGTAATTGCAAATCTGTGTAATCGCACGAAATATTATAAATATCGGATAATATAATAACGCGGACACGTGTGCTGTTTCGTCGAATAATTCTGCTTTCGTGTAAACGAAGCCGAATCGAGGTCTAACACGTGAACGACGAGGCGTGAAATACTGCACGAGGGCTTGATATCAGCGAAATGACTATTTTAGTGTACAGAAAATCACAAACAATGTTATTCGCTTCTACGAACTTGTTTCCAGTTAAGGTCTATTCCATTCAGTTCGTTATCTGGGTCAGTAGCGCTCCGGTTAAAGTATTCTATTAATAAAGATTACTTATCCCCGATTAATGAATTAATGGTATTGTCGAATCTGGTGTTTGTCTTACATTAACAAATAAAATTGCTACAATTTTTCGATCGCATCGGTTGTGAAATCGTTTCGTATGTATTTTATTTATAATTAAAATCAATTAAACGACGACGGGCGAAAAACATTAAAATTCACATAGTTGAAATGTTTGAAGTTACATTAAAAAATTAGGTGATAAATGGACTACAGATCTTTGTGCGAACCCTGAGTTATAAAAACAGGAGTTACATAGAAATACATTTTGTCTATGAAGAATTTTATTGGAATCAAGAGTCTCCTATCGATGAGACTTTCAGATTCCGTTCTCCAAATATAAGTAGTCTGAACTTAAAGATTAAGTTTTCTAGAGTGCCTTAATTAAATTGCAAACAATAGAGTACTTCTTCAGACGAAAGATAATCATGTATACGCGCTAATTAATAGTTATAGAGTATTTCTTCAAAGGAGAAACGATTATATGTACTCGAATAAAGTATAAAACCTCATATAAACAGTATTATTTATCATGTTACATAATTGTCAATGACATGAATGATAACAAATTTTTCCCTCTCACAGAATTTATCCAATCTGTAGTCCATTAAATAATATAACCGCCTAGTGGTGAAAGGTAGGAACTAAACTACTCCTAGCGATATGCAACCCGTCGATCCCATCTGCTTGCATAATATCACAGACGAGATGTAGACTTAACATCTTATGGGACTTTGTGTCACATATTCTGGATTCCGATCGTGCAAAATATCAAAGATTTTCTGCTGCCCTCTACGCTATGAAAATACTGAATTCCGAAATTATATTCAATCCAAGTCGAACTCACTGCTTCGCTGTAACGTGAACCTATTAGAAGATCTTAAGTTCAAGTCCCGCTGGACCTATAATGTTTTTTCGCGTACCAAAATTTGCAACTCAATATATACGTTCCTGTATCCACGTATCGGAGAAAATATCATTGTTAAACATATCGCATGCTGTTCATATTCTGCTAAGAAACACAATTCTTTATTAAAACAAAAAAAGTAACGTTTCCATGATTGGTGCAAAACAGCGGTCTTCCAATGGAACCCTACCATTATCTTAAACTTTTCGTTCAGTCAATTACTGCACACGATTCTTTAATATCAGTTGAGAATGAAGAACAATTAACAATAACAAAACAATAAATTCAGAAACTCGTTTAAAATAGCGTGGAAACGGCAAAATCGACAAAGTTGTGTCATCTGACGACAACTTCGGGAGCTACATTAAGAAGTCCTAGGCTTAGTTCCAATGTCCGCCACCTAATTACAGCAATTTACTACTATAATTATAGCAATTTCTCGATTTTTAAGTTTTCTCGCGCTTTTTCAAATTCAAATTTCGCGTCAAATTTTTAAGTTACAAATTGTTAAGAAATACTCAAATTCCGCGCCAACTATTCTTCGGTCTTTGAATTGAATTAAATGTATGTAATTCTGAATACACCGTTCTCATAACGTAGAGGGCAGCACAAAATCTCTGATTTTTTGAACGATCGTTATTTTAGAACATGAGAGTCTCATGATGAGACACGAAGTCCCATGTCCCATATAGTCCCATCTAGAAATGGCGTGAACTCCTATTTGTGAATCACTCGTGATTCGATCACGTTCGTTCCCAATCACGGTGATTTTTCACAGTGATTCGTGATTTCTCGTGATCGTTTCTGATTGGTGGAGAAATCTAACAGTTCTTTATACGCGACACCTAATCTGTATATTCTAAATTAACGACATCAAAACAAAAATTCGAGTTATATCGTATAAAGTGAAGGAATAATTAGAACAGGAGCATGCGCAGAGACCCCGTGTATGTGAGAGAAAGTGGGGCCATAGAACCCCCGATGGAGTCGCCAGAGACCCCGTGTGGTGGAGAGTGGGGTCACAAAACCCCTGGTGGAGGCGCCAGAGACCCCGTGGGTGAGAACGTGGGGTCACAGAACCACCCGTGCATTCGCAAGAGTTTTAAAACATGATCCTTTATCCCCAGCAACCATGGCAGTTTCTGCAGATACTACTACAGCCCAAGTTTAAAATACGTAGGCAGTAGTTAGTTTCTGTAGTAATCTGTTGAACCAGGCAACTATAATTAGTATAAGGTTGTACAATATTTATGCAGTTATATTTAAGACAATTCGATGAAATGAAGCTTATATTAGCTGATGTATGTTTATTGGAATATACATATATACATATAAATTATAATGATAAAAAACTTTGAAATACAATACGATGCGCTACGGTACAATACATCTATTCGATTCCATTGCTCCCTTGCGACTACAACATCATGCTATCCGCGTTCGGCGCAATGCGCTAATACGGAGGCCAACGAAATATCACTGTAACACTTAAAAAAGTGTTAAAGTTCCATTTATATCATTGTCCTGTGAAAATATTCATACTTCCATTAGCATTCATATTCCAATCAATGAATTTACAGAATAAGGAAAAGGAATCTAAAGTAATTTTCAGTAGTTCCATACATCTTTATCTCGAATAATTTTCTAAAACATTCAAAGTACTAGACATTTTTACACTTTG